ACAGCGCACAATGGCAAGGATCTTTAATGAATCACTTATGTCGGGAGAATTACTTTATTGCTGGAAGAGGGCAAATGTTGCGCCGATTTTCAAGAAAGGTGATAGGGAGGAGGCACTTAACTATAGACCTGTATCACTGACAAGCATCCCCTGTAAAATACTTGAGAGAATAATTAGGCTACGACTGGTTACACACCTGGAGAACGTTAGGTTTGTGAACAAACATCAACATGGGTTCTGGAAAGGAAAATCTTGCCTAACAAACCTTTTAGAATTTTATAATAAAATAACGAGGATAAGACAGGACAGAGATGGTTGGGCAGACTGCATATTTCTGGACTGCCAAAAAGCCTTTGATACAGTACCGCACATGAGACTGCTGTTCAAACTCGAGAGGCAGGCGGGGGTGGGGGGGAAAGGCCCTAGCATGGATAAGGAACTACCTATCAGGAAGGAACCAAAGAGTTACAATAAGGGGCGAGAAGTCGGACTGGCGAACAGTAACGAGTGGAGTACCTCAAGCATCGGTGCTGGGACCAATTCTATTTCTAATATATCTGTTAACGACATGTTTACAGGAGTAGAGTCCTACATGTCAATGTTTGCGGATCACGCCAAGTTGATGAGAAGAGTTGTGACAGATGAGGATTGTAGGATCCTCCAAGAGGACTTGAACAGGTTGCAGAGACGGTTAGAGAAATGTCTACTGGAGTTCAACACAAGCAAATGTAAAGTTATGGAAATGGGACTAGGAGATTGGAGACCAAAGGGACAGTACACAAAGAAAGGGAACTGCCTACCTGTGACGACGCGAGAAAGAGACCTGGGCGTGGACGTAACACCTAATCTATCTCCTGAGGCACATGTAAATTGGAGAACGACAGCAGCGTACTCTAAACTGGCAAAAGTTAGAACATCATTCAGAAACCTAAGTAAGGAGGCATTTAAGGCGCTATACACTGCCTACGTGAGGCCAGTCTTCGAGTATTCCGCCTCATCATGGAGTCCCCATCTGAAGAAGCACATAAGGAAACTGGAAAAGGTTCAGAAGTTTGCAACGAGACTCGTCCCAGAGCTACGAGGGATGGGGTATGAGGAGCGCCTGAAGGAACTGTGCCTTACGACACTAGAATGAAGAAGCAAGAGGGGGGATATGATAGGAACGTATAAAATACTCAGGGGGATTGGCAGAGTGGACCTAGACGAAATGTTCACACGGAATAGTAACAGAACGAGGGGACATGGATGGAGGCTGGAAACTCAGTTGAATCATAGAGATGTTAGGAAGTTTTCTTTTAGCGTGAAAGTAGTGGAAAAATGGAATGCACTTGGGGAACAGGTTATGGAAGCAAACTCTATTCATAATTTTAAAATTAGGTATGATAGGGAAATGGGACAGGAGTCATTGCTGTAAACAGCCGATGGCTGGAAAGGCGGGATTTAAGAGCCAATGCTCGATCCTGCAAGCACAAATAGGTGAGTACAAATAGGTGAGCACACACACACACACACACACACACACACACACACACACACACACACACACACACACACACACACACACACACACACACACACACACACACACACACACACACACACACACACACACACACAATCGCGGCTGGAACAAATTCAGAGGAAGGGGTGGAACAGGAAGCCGGGATGAAGGGAGTATTCTAGCAAATGTGGGATGAGTTCAGTGAAGGACTGAGGGTAATGAGGGAGACAGTTGCCAACCTGCAGGATGAACTAAGGGCAGCAAAGGAGGAGATAAGATGCCTGAAGGAGACTCCTCTGCAATACCAAACACAAACCGTGCCTCAGGGAGATGGGAATGCTACTGTGGAGGAGACCTCCACACCTCAGCTCTCATTTGCTACAAGGCTTAAAAAGAGCCCTGAAGCTAGGTCTGCAGTTAGGGAAGTTGCCATGGAAGTGGCTTCCTCTCAGGAAGCAGCTAGATGTATTAGCCGGCTGATAGAGAGAAAAAGAGCAGTAGTAGTAGTATCAGGCATTAAAGAGCAAACAGGGGTCAGCCCAAAGGAGCGGAGAGACAAGGACAAAAGCATAGTTACCGAGATCCTTAAAAAGGTAAGGATGGAGGGAAATGAACAAAATGTTAAAAAGGTTTTCAGGCTTGGAAAGTACAACAAGGACAGAGACTGGATGATAAAGGTGGTATTCAGGAGCGAAATCACGAAAGAGGAACTGTTAGCAAGGAAGAGCGGTCTAGCAAATGTAGAAAAGTTCAAAAAAGTATTCCTGCAGAGGGATATGACAAGGGAAGAGAGAAAGCAGGCAGCAGACGTGAGGAAGGAGCACAGGGAGAGAGAAAGGAATCGAGGAGCCACAACCCTGAACCCTACAATCCCAGAGGGGAGTGGGGAACCCTCCTCAAACAGTGCAACAGCCACAGG